TTAAAAGGTACTTACAATAAGCAGAGACAGTCATTGGCTGAAAATCTGCAGTTATTCACTTCTTCTAAATGGCACAAAAAAGATCTCAAATAACGCTGTCTGTGAGACACACCATTTGCTTGCTCTACAAAACCTCCTCAGCTATGACCTCAGACARGAAAGCTGAAAGAGCAGCAAGATCTGTTATAAACATCTCTTGGAAACTCTGCACRAATGTCTAAACCTTCTGGGCTGCTCCCCATGCTGGAGGTGGAGGTTGGTAGCAGCTCCAGCTCTCTGAATTTCCAGACCTTCTGCATGTCCCAACCTGATTGATAAGGACAGAAGCACATCAGAAGAAGTTCCTGATGGGAATATCCATCCCTGTTCTCAGTGGCTGACCCTCCTCAGGGCTGACGACTAGTGATCCTCCCTAAAGCTCCCACTGGGCCGCCGAGGAGTGTTTGCTGCCCGGTGGTCCAGCCTGTGTGCACAAACTCAGGCAACTAAAGGCCTTTCCAGCTCGCCTGCCTGTATCAGGCCTTGGCAGCCTACCTGGATGTAATTCAATAATCTTTTCCAGATCTTTTCACATAGGGGGTTTATCAACGTTCTTGCACTCGGGACTTGCAGCTACCGCTCCGCTGGATCTGCCRTGTGTCTGCCTGGCTTGGCTGACCATTCCTTCCACGGGGAAGGAGCCTCCTCGGGTAAGAGCCAGCTGGCAAAGAAAGTGGCCGTGGCATAACATTTTGGCAAACCATTGCTAATATTTCCTGCCTTGCATTATTAATCATGGTAACTTACTTGTTGCTRCCTAACGTACGGCTCGCACGTACCTGGGAAAGCCCTTCTGAAGCTCTGGACCGATGCCTCTGGAAAAGCTCCACATCCCTTCCTGTCTGTAGTGTAAAACTTCCTCTTGCAGAGGAAAGCATGAGCTCATACGCTAGCATAGGAACTGAAAGCCAAAATACCTAAGTTCTGTTGCAAGTTCCGCCATTGAGTTATCATGGGTAGAGGACTTTGCTTCCCTGATGCTCAGTTTCCATTTACATTTGCCTGTTTGGATCATCATCTCTTTGACTAACGTGGACCTTTATTATACATGTTACCTGGCTTGTGCTCTGCCACAATGCAATTAAATATCTTCTTTGTGTCTTTGCACATGAACCTAAGCACTTACTTAYGTCATGACACTGCATTAATGACAAATGTCTCCTGGTCACAGAAAAAAAGAAGTTTATTTCAGCAGTTCAGGGGCTAGTCAGGAGTACTACTGCCTTTTTATCACTCCACTCTTCTTACATATGTAGCTGCAAATGATACAAAGCATTCCTGCTGCTGTTGTATCCCTCTGCTGTAGCAAACACATGCCTTGGAATAATCCCCCTSGGCACTGTTTGCAATCACAGGCCAGCTCATTGTAAGGATATTTAATTAAAGAGAGAGGTTCTGGTCTTTTTTACCTTGGTGCCTCCGAAAATGGGGCAAGTGAGTGTGGTACCTTCTGGGCCAAAGCTAGGACTGCTGGAAATGAACGCGGTTCTGTCGAGATGAAAGGAGCCAGTTAYGGTTGCCATTTCTGAAATATCCTCTGGATGCTTAATTTAATAGGCAAAGTTCATTACTACAGTGCTGCAGGAAGAAAGCTGGGAGAGCAATACACTCATTAACAGGTTAGTAGTCTTCAAATTAGCATGTAACTAACTACATGTGTTGCCTTGAAATGGTGCTGTGCATTTTGATGCAGGGGCACTTAAGAGCAAGGGTTGTGCCCCACGCAGTAACCTAGTTATATCACTTAGCACTGGAAAGCAGCAAGGCAGTGGCATTTAATGTATGAACAATATGCTGGAGTACCAGAGTGTGGAAAACTGGTACAAAGTGTGAAAATGTAAATCAGGTGCCAGCACATGTGTGAAACAAATGTCGCTGCAAGGGTGCTGACAGGTGCTCGCAGCAGTATCAGCCAGCCTTTGGGCTTCTGCTAATGTTTGTTAGATATGTCTTTCCATCAGTGAATCATACTTCTGTATTTTCCTGYGTGGAAAGCATCTGACCCATTTGTTCAAAGCGGTCCTGGAGGAGTCCTGCAAGCAARGTTGGAGTAGGACTCGAGGACAAGGAGGGATTTGACGCTGTGATTTCCTTGGAGGTGAAGCGCTTGGCACCCTGCTTCCTGCATGTGAGCAGGAGTGTGTCCCCAAAGGACATTTGTATGTGCAAACATGAGACTTATCCTTGCTGTCTCTGAGACTTCAACTCAGTAGCAAAGAATGAAGAAAGTACCCATGTTCTGGGATTGAGCCCTCCCCATCTTCAGTGTGACCAGCGTTCTCCAGCCCAGACAGCTGCCCTTGCATTTGCACGTGTGTTAAATGCACACCGGACAAGCCAGTGGATTTCCTGGCACTTAACTGCATTTCCTTACTAGCCTTGTCACTGTGTGTGATTAAAAATTATAAAGAGGAGAGCAGATACGCGTGGAGGTTACTGAAGCATGAGCAGAATGGTAGATGAGTGGTATTCTGAGCATCGGAGTCCATACTATTACCTACAGAGAAGCAGAGGCCTATCTGAAATCTTGCATCCATTCCGGTGTAAATATCCCTGGAGAGGCCTCATGCCRAACAGTGCAGCAGCGTTCCCGAGAATGGGTGAGCATCTGGAGCAGATTCTGTCTGGTCGCTTGGGTGGAAGTGAGAGCAGGGTTTGGGCTGCACTCAAGGGGATGAGACATCTCCATCACCTCCCTGGGACTCTCTTGAGCAGGATCTTGTGACCAGTCCAGTGGTATCCACGTAAAATAAAGGTGTGCTGCAGTTGCACTGCAAAATCTAAAGATTTATCCTGCTTAATGAGCAGCAGTATTTTCCACTTCCAATGGCTTGACAAAATAGTGCTGGCTGTAGCTTGAGATATTCTGAATACCAGGGATTTCAATTATAATATACAGGTATTGCAATGCAGGGCTCAGAAGTCATATTCCTTTGTTTCAAAACATAGCTGTTGTAGTCAAGGGTGACAAAGCAAAGTTTGGCAGAAATGCTTCTCTAGTGCTTCTTTTTTTTTACATTTGGCAATGATTAGGATGATACTGGACAGGTGGAGAGGGCGCATCCTTTAGGCTGGATACTTTCTTCCCACTGATTGTTGAGCACTCAGCAGTATTGGTAAGGACTGTGGAAAAGAGGAAAGGCTGCAAAGAACAACTTGATTATGTGGCAGTTTATAGTCTGATATACGTGGGTGGGAGCTATTTCATTAGAGCAAATATTTTTTAATATTCTGCTGTCAGCTGTCCAAAGCTTTTCCTGATGGCTGTTAGCTATAGCTCAGGCCTTGTAATATTGCTTGTAGTGCTAAGAAGTGATCACTTCAGTTCATAACAAGCAAAAAGCTTTCTCCTCAGACAAACATGTCATTTAATGCCAAATCCCCTCACAATATCCGCATGAAATCAATAGTGTCATTTGCTGCATTGCATGCTGTTTAATGCAGGTGAGGGGCCTTGAATATTGTCCCCAACAAAATCCTTAAAAGGGAGTTCCATTAGCTGAGTACTATTTTCTTATTTTTGAAAATGACTTTTATTTTATATTCTTATCCTGACCGTCTGCTAATGAAATAGGAAAAGGTATAAACTCAATATTTCCCCAATGAAGGCAATGGCAGAGCTRTGAATTTCTTTTCTGGAAGCCAGTTAAGTGGTTCTTGTTAAATCTCTGAAACTATTGATAGAGCTAGTGAGAAAAATAGCACATTTTTATGCACTTTGAYGTGGTTTGCTTCAGAATTCAAATATGAAGATTTCAAAGGGTACGTAATACAGAGAAAACCTTGACCCCTGTCATGGTCTGCTGTCTGAATGCTTGATGGGCAGGTACGTGGCTTAGTATTCTGAAAACAGCATTAAGTACATCTCTAGAGTTAACCAAACCTTATTATTTTTCCTGGTGTTACTTTTGCCAATAATTTCGATCTTTACCACATCTTAACTTTTTGTAGGGAACCTCTGAATTTTGCCTAAGCTTTAGACCAAAACCAGCTCATTTCCCACATTTCTTAGGCCCAAGGGCTTGCCAGCTGGAGCACAGCTCCTGATGGGATCGGCTTCTTCCATTGGGGAACCTCCAGCCAAGAAAGCTGCGAAAGTCTCCACTTCCCAGGTCCTTTGTCCCCAGGAAATGAGGAATGTGCTGGACTTCAGCAACGGCAATAAAAAAAAAAGGGCCCGCTCCATGGAAAATATCATACTTTTGGTTCCAATTCAAGCACATATATGTGTTTATGTGTGTGCTTTTATATAACTTCAGAAATTCAAAACTTGCTGTGGGACAGGAATTTCAGTCTTCCTGTGCTCTCACTTTCCCTGTAGCAAATTCTGCCTCAACTGCCAAGCCAAATTGAAACCAAAACCAGTATCTAGGAAGAAAGAAAACSGTCATAAAGAGTTTTAGGCTCATATTTACCCCTAGTGAATTTTCACTACCATATGTGCGTTAGAAAGAAATGTGGTTTGTGGAAGAATAGCAAACACCTCGGGCAGCCTTCGGTGGCTCTGATGCGTGTTTTTGGGAGGTGGAGTGGGCTGAATGTCCCACTCGGTCCAACCTACTGCTGCTTTAATTCTGACCTCCCAAGAGAAAATAGGGAGAGTATTTAATATCAGGAAAGAGTGGCTGCCAGGAGTTATTTAAGTTTAAAGAATAAAAGATAGTTGAAACACTTTCCAGGTGGTTCAGCCAAATATCCTCCTTACAAAGGCAGAATGCTGGCCTGTCCCCTGCACACACACTCCCCATGTAGGCAAAGCATTTTATTAGAGAGGTGGTATCACAAAATGCTCRTGCATAGGTAGTAAATTGACATCTGTGGAAGCACTAGGTGAAGCACTTATGAGGATGGGAGTTCCAGTTTTGCAAATGTTCCTTTTCCTTTAATTTCTAGAAAAATATTGCTGCTTTCCTAAGGAGGAGAGAGGCCCTGCATGGTGACAAGCATCCAGGAACCTGAGGAAAAGCTGCTGGCATGTCAGATTATGGGTCCGGTCCACAGTTCAGCTGAAGTGCCTGGTAAAGCATTTTCCTTAGGAGCTCTACTGTTAATGCTTCCCAGCCCCAGTGGGGCCTAACTTGGGGCCAATCAGGGCTTGGTAGGAGCTTGGAAATGTAATTGACCTCTTATTCAAAGTTCTTAGTACTAGAGTTTCAATATTAAGTTGGATCTTTTGTGCCACAGATGGTAACAAGAATATAATAATTGCAGAGCCACTCCTTCAATTATTTTTTTAAATCCTCAATGCCTCAGGTATTCTTTTCAGCTAAATTCATCATCATTTCACTGAATTCTGAAATGAAAAAATTAAAAAAACTTAAAAATATTGCTGAAAAAAAGAGCTGTAAAGGTCTGTTTTGGAAGGGGCTTCCAAGCTCTATTTCCCCACAGATTTTAGGACGTATCCAAGCCACCTTGAAATTTCCCTGCCTATTTTTAAGTCTCTGGTGTGACCTGATGGAGACACACACAGTTGTATGTACGTCACATCTTTCCTGCAGGGATACGAAGCCTTAGTGATTCGAGAGGCAGTTTACAGTGGGAGTAAATAAAAAAAGGTTACTCCTAATGTTGAAATAGGGCTGTCTATGGTGTAGCGTGAACCAGATTTTTCTTTTCACGGCAAGAACTTCAAGCTTCTGATCTGAAAAGCCTACAGGCTCTGATCCAGCCTCTCCAAGACCTTTTTCTGGCAGCTGGAACAGACTTTCACTGCACACATGTTGGCCTGCTACCTGCTAAGTCTTTGCTTCCTCCTCCGTTTTCTGGCACCTCCTGCAGTAGATAGAAACAAAAAAAAAGAAAAGCCTTGGCTTCTAGATGCAATTTCACATATGGTAAAGTGAGCTCAGCACTTAGTTATGTTTTTTTTTTTTCCCCTCAGTCCTCCCTCCTGGTGACAATTCCAAGAGCACATTTGGAAAATAGAGTAGAAAATGGAGAAAATTAGAGCAAACACTAGAGACCTGAAACTTTGGAGGTCTTGATACGAGCATAATGTGCAAGATAGAAAAAACTCTTCAAAACATCTCTGCAAAGTTGCAGAAGAAAATATGATGCGTGGGTTTCATGTGGGAAAGATGAAGGCTCTGGAACGTTAATGCTCCGACAATTACAGCTTTGCTGTTTTCATTTAGCAGATCCAAAATGTTTGGGGAACCTTTCTAGCAAGGTTAGTTCTGTCATTGGAAGTTATCGTGCTTTTAGAATACATTACACGGCGCTTTGCTGATAGCAGACCTCATTTGAACTTGGGCTGTGCCAAAAAACAGCAGTGATTTAGCTTTGAGAGGTTTCAGATTCCCTTTCCCCACTCTAAACCAAAGTCCAGAGCAGATCCCAATCTCCTGCAAGTCAAAGTCCAGGCTAGGGTCAGTTTACATCCCAAACTTCTCTCTCCAGGTCGTGTCTATCACAGAGGCAATGCTGTGCAGAGGCTGCTGCTGGGCCTTTCCACGGCAGCAGGGAAGGGTGCTGGTGCAGTGAGTGCCTGGAAAGGCCTGGATCTTAGAGCACCGCTCCGAGTAACCTGTGGAGTCTCCAGTGGAATTATTTTTTTTCCGTTTAGAGAAAAATATGTGAGCTGGGTATTGCTCAAGCAAATTCTTTTTAGGGTCTTGGATTTTGCTTTCTTCTTTTGGACAGGTCTTTGTCTGGCAGCAAAGTTAATATTTACTTTGAAGGCCACAGAATCATCATTTTTTAATTCCTCTAAATATCCCAGTTAAGTGCATGACTGCCCAGCTACCTACGGGYGGATGGTAGGCTGTGAGGAAATCTGGAAATTTAACTCCTTTCCTGTCTTAGGCAGCAATAACAGTTTCAAAGGTGGCTTTATTTTTTTTTAGGCTTTGAAAAGGTTCTTTAATATGCCAGTTAAAATTCCATCCTAGATTCAGGGAACATGAAAAGAGGGGAAGATTTCCAAAGCGGATTTATAAAGTCTCTCAGGGAAGCATATCTAGTAATTTAAACTATTGATTTCTGTTGCATATATTCCTCACGATTGAAGGACTGATAATGCAGCAAAAAACTTGATGCAGCAAGTTCAAGCTTGATCATCAAGCAAGATGCTCTTAGTTTTAAGATGAGTATATCCTGAGGGAATTGTACAGTATTATTTGTGCTGGATGGGTACAGAGACAAAGGCACTAATGAGAAGTATTAAAATCTGCTAGTTAGCCAGGTAGTTGCTGGAAACACAGAAATTAAGTGAAGGGCTAATAGAGCCAGTAGGACATGCAACGTCTGGCAGAGTCACTGCTGTACCTGGAAAGTCCATTGCCTTCCAAAACCAGGCACTGCCGAAGCAAGCTGAAGAATTTTAAGTTGAATTATACAGTGATAATATTTTTGAGAAGACATTCCAGCTTTTTGCTTCAGTGGCAATGGCAGTCATGACCTTTATGTCTAAGKTTTTTTTTTTTTAAGAACTCTTTCTAAAGGCAGCAAGACTGTGTCTTTTTAAATAGCAGAAAAATAGAATTGCTCCTGAAAGTTAGGCACTGAATTTATAAAGACGCGTCAGTCTGTAGTAACCAATGTGAGCCCAAGTCCACTAGCAGTTGCCCTATGAGGGCTACTATCCTCTTGTGTGGTTACAGTCAAATAGGAATTCAATTCCAATCTTTAAATTTGGGAGGCATATTATACCCTTGTGTATATACTGCAGTACATGGATGCAATATTGTCTAATGCAAATATGCCMAAAAATAAAATTTTGGCAATAATAGTTTTTAAAATATTACTTATCTTCTTGTGACCTTTTGCAGGTGGGATCACCAGCTCATGTAGCATAAGGTACCTTTACTGACTGACTATTTCAGCTTCATTTAGAAGTACCACCAACCCACAGCATCTGTCAGGACACAGATACGTTGGACAAAGCTCTTAGCAGCCRTCTCCCTGCCTGTCTTTAAGTAACTATTTCTTTTTGTTCTTCTCATATGAAGCTGTTGCAGGTGGTGCAGTACAGGGTGCAAAAAGGATAGAAACTCCTTAAAATGTTGCTGGTGAAACTCCATCATAATATGTTGCTCTTGTTTGGTGGTTTTATTCCTTTCTCAGCATGAGATATATTATACCTAAAGGCTCAGTTTGTTGGGCACTGAGTATTTTTGACTGCTATGGTCATTTATGTTCGTTTTTTCTGAAAAACAGTTTTATGTATGTGACTGTTTCTCTGCAAACGGGTAAAGATCTGAGAGAATTTTATCTTCTCATAATTACAGTATCAGTAGAGTAGATTATTTACATGTTAGCCAGTGTCCTCCCTTACTAAAAGGGASGAATTGCGTGTGTAGTCCCAGCCTAAAATATCTGGAACAGCTTCGGGGACTGTGCATCAGCCCAAAGCAGTGTCCACGTTTACTGGAAGAACTTTGGTCTTATTCTCTAGCCCTGTTCCCAACTTGGGCTGTTTCTGCTGGTTCCTTTGTGCAGTTCTGGTCTTAAAATCTGAAATTGGTAGAACAAAAGACTTCCAAGAAACTGATATCTCATTTTTTTCTTCATGCAAAAAAAAAGACTTTTTATGAATGTCATAATAATTTTAGGAAAGATAGCTCTGAATGGTGAAAACCTTACCAGGGGGAAAGGATTTATTCTAGAATTGGGATCACCTTTCTCAGATGTGCTTGTTGACCAGCAGACATTTAATGCTCTAACTGAAAAACTTTTGGGGGCTCCCTGTTTATGGCTCTGCTTAGGTAAGCACTGTTGTAGCTTTATACCACAAGATCACATTTCAGCAACAGAATGTAGCAAAATTAGCATCAAGATGCAATTTAGAGGAATAAAAGAACCRTTCAGACGACAAACATCAAAGAGCTGACAAACGCTCTCTAGCAAATGTCTCTGCTGTGAAGCTTTGTTTACATGTTTCATTTAATGGGCAAATGATTAACCRTGGCTCTGTATCAAAAACCTCCTTTAGTTTGGCCTGCTCCTGCCRGTTTTCTAGTAATTTGGGAAAGTGCTCCCAGCCATTCTGCTGGCTTGCAGAAGAGCAGAGCCAGGAGACTGCAGAGATAGGAGCAAGTTCCTGCTAGCTGTGAATAAGAAATGCACTGTAACGTTTTCACGTTCCTGCATCTCCCCCTGGGCACCGGAGCAGCTGGGACTAGGGTGGCAGGGAAAGTTGTCCTGGGAAAGATGTGTGTCCTGGGATGCGGTTGTGCTGTGGGTAGGGGCACAAGAAGAGCTGTGCAGTGTCACTGTGATGTTTCCACCAAATGTCCCACAATTTGAAAGGTGCTGAGAGAGAATGACAGACTCTCGGATCTTCTCTAGCAGGTCTCTATGAAGTAGAAGTTGTAAGCAGGACCAAACTAGAAGGCCTAGAGCTTTCTGTGACATGTTTGCCAAACTACCAAGCCACCCCCGTTCCCTAGCTGCAGTGGGTTTTGCGTGGGATGAAGTCAACCTCTAACCCCAAGCTTTTTGATCCATGAAATCAATTATTTTGAAACCAATACTTGGAGCTCCATCACGGTAACAACTGGGGATTTTTGAAACTGAATCTCTTCAGCTTTAGCATTTGCTTTTGCTGGAACACTATTGCTTAGATTGCATTCTGGGACCATGGCATTTCCCATGCCAAAACAAGTTTGAAATCAGTTTGATTCTCTTTTTTTGAACCAACAGATTTAGCTGCATGCATGAATCCCAGTTCTCAGTACAACATTGGCACAAGCAGCACGGTTTGTATTAACTCCCATGAGAAGGATAGACTAAAGTCCAATGATAATGGATAAAGCATATAGATGTTTCAAAACACTGGAATTGCTGTTCTTGAAGCTTAAGGTAGCTGGAATTGTCTGTGACTCCTTTAATCCTAAATTTGTTGTTTATTCTGCAGCAGCAGAATACACTGCTTGCTGTCTCTGAGATCTGAAGAATGGTGGTGGTTTTAAACAGGTAGCATTATTTGAGAATTGTTCAAATATTAGTAATTATTGTCAATTCAAAATTTTGCCCTTGCAAATTGCCCTTTGGAATTATTGACAAAACGCTAAGTTGCTTGAATTTAATTGAGTAGATAAAAGAAATGCTGCTGCTGGAAAAAACTGCTATTAAATGCACTTTATTGTGGCCAGAGTGATTAGGTTCCAAGCAGTCTGTATTTTCCAGGAAGGAGAGCTGCTGATATATTTAGTTTCAGAATCCCCTATTGAAACAAACAGGGAGCAGTCAGGGTGCAAGGCGTGCTGAGCAGGTGACCCAGTAAGTCACTGTTCCTTACGGGAACGTGACGATGGAAGTTAATATTTTCTTGAATGGACTTGCACAACATRTCTGAGTTTCTGCCGCGTGCCACGATGCCACTTTAAAATGARGGCTGGGAATCTACACCATGAAACTGCAGAGAGCTGTGAAACCCCTATCCAAAAGTAGGGCATGTACTTATTGTAAAGGAGGATTTGTAAAGTGCCTGAAATAGAACCTAGCTACAAATTACCAGTAGATTTTTTCACTCCTATGTGAAGCAGTTTCATGTTTTGGAAATGTTCAAAGTTTTAGGTTGATAGTGGTTTCAATTAAAAGACTATGTGTCTGWCCTCCTTTTGATGTAGCCTAATTATTCACACTGATGCAGTACAAGTTAAAAAATCTGTATCAGCAAAGAGATGGGAGATTGCTCCTCGTGCTTCTAGTATGCAATAAGTTTGAGAGCAGCAGTGCACAGTGAAGTGTTAGTTAATGATGGACTACATAACAAAGTATATAGAGTTTGGCCATGACTAAGCGTAGCAAATATTGGAGAGGAGGAAGATTCTCCCTTCCCATACTCCATTCATACAGAATTTATTCAGGTTTCTATACAGGGGCAGGCAAGTGAATCATCAACACCCACACAGTTATGTTTTAACATTTTAGAAACCTGATTTTGCCAATTCTACTTGCCTCCAAATAGAGTAATACAATCTAGCCTTTCATTAAGTCAGTTCATAGACTAGGACACAATCTGAGACATTCATGCATTATTCTGAATCTGTCTCTTAAATGTTTAATGTAAGGCTTAAAAAAGTAACACATATGTACTGTGGCTGTCTTGTTTTTCTTGAGTCACAGGACGRGAATAACAGGACTTCTTGTCACCATTCACTGAGCGCTGTTCGTATGGAATTAGTTTGCATGGCATTGGCATGTGGGGAGCCCTGGGAAGTGTCTGGAAGGATCTGTGCTCAGTGCAGAGCAGATCTCTGGCTACAGTCACATGGGGACAAAATTAGGTTGGTGACCAGTGAAGCTTGGCTTGATGGAAATGTCTCTCAATTGTAAATTTGGGTTTGGAAAACTGCAGCAGTAGGTTAAGCACATATGTTTGGAGGAAAGGGGAATTTCATTGCAAATCACCTCCTGGGCTGAGTAGCTACTTGCTATGTTTGAGGAGCTCTTGGGGTTTACTTTTTCCATCATCACGATATATTCCTGCTTTCCTGAAATGCTCTGGAGAGGCCAAAGTTCTGGTCCCTGCTGCCCTGACCTGGCTTGTGGTGTTGCACAAAGAGACCTTTCCGTCGGCAGCCGGGAAACCTTCCTGCCGTTCCGAAACACCCGGCTGGCGCTTGCCAGCAAAATGTACCTGCTGGTTTAATAGCTGCAGAAGCCAAAAAAACAGTCCAGTGTTTATCAGGACCAAACAGTCTGGTTGAGCGAGGATTCAGGGTAGTGAACTGTAGCTGGAGTTAAGCAATGTGCGTGGACACTCTCCAAGCTGCTTTTTTTTGCTTGGGGTGAACGCTAATGACTTCTGTCATTCCTGTATTTCGTGATGAATTTGTTCAGATGCTAAGTCATGGAAACAGCGCTCTGAAAAAGTGTCCACATGCTRCTGCCAACTCCAAATCTGGTAATAGCAGCATACCTACCAAAAAAACCMAAAAACTTAGGTACCTTGTGACCTTAAATGTCAAATGTTGCCAGAAAATGCCCTGGGTTCTGATGTGTTTTTATTTATTTTTCATGAAGACAAAAAGGAGACGATGGTGATTTTGTTCGCTTATTTTTATGTAATTGCTTCAATTTCCAGGCTGGCACGGAGGCACTCTCCAAACTTAATCAGAGACCACAGCCTGAGCAGCCAGAGGAGATGGAGAGAGCACCTTTTGGACTAGGACCTAAGGTGAGTGTATTAGGGCATTTATAACAGAGCCAAGCTCTAAAAATGATGGTTCAGCTTGTGCAGCTTGTGACGTGGGCTTTCTTGGCAAGGAGCAGAGTGTTCTGCATTCAGCRAACCCTCCTAGGTGCTCTTGGGCATCTTTTATGTGATTTCTCTGCACCTCGGCTCCCTCTGAACAGCAGGCTAACCATTTTCCTAGTGCTGTTGTTTTCATTCTGCTGCCAGGATCATAAATTCTTTCCAGCAAAACTGCCTTCTTCCTGCAAAGAGGAGATACAGCCGCCAGCACCATGGGTACCCACAGGGGCTATCGTCATCCAGGAGAGTTCTCATTCAAGTGAGCAGGAATTAAGCCGGAGTAAAGGCAGGTGAGAAGTAGCTCGCCTGGGTGAGGTGGAGGGTGTCCTGCCTGCTGCTAGTGTCGCTGAGAAGTTAGGTAAAACCTGCAGGGTTCCCTTGCTGTAAAGAGGTTTGAGATTCAGGATGGACTTCGATTTCCGCATTTATTTCAGGTACCTGGAATGGGTTATTTATGTTGTATATGCTGGCTGCACAGTGAGGTGTAAAGTCAGTGCTGTTTGAGGGTAGTGGGGAGAGAAAGAAATACACCCACTGAAAAATGCCCTGTTTCTGCAAAGATGCCAGCCTTGTGGGCAGTGGACCTCCTATGCATGAAATATTTGCTTCCATGTTTATATGGGAATAAAAGCCCCTACTGAGGTGCTTCCTCAYGAGAAATACTAAGCAATATGCTCAAGCAAGGACTGTTAGATCCATCACTTCCWGCAACTAGTGTTTATGACATATGTGCATGCATTTTATATGCAGGACTACTCAAGTCTGGCCTCTGTTTAAGGCCTGTGAGCTGTTCACGCTAGCTTACTGTTCAGTTCAAACCCGAGTGCTTAGGTAGCACCAAGCTTGAGAGTTAATCTTCAGCCCATGCTGCAGCTAGTTGAGGGTAGCATTACTTTCCACTTTCTCCTTCAGAGCAGGCACTAAGAGGAACATGAATCCCTCCTGCCTGGCACTGTGTAAATTTTACTTGGAAAGTGTCACTTCATGGCCAGCAAACTGGAGAGTTTATTTGCTTTCTATGTGGCTTCAGTGATTTCCAGCATGTTCCTATCTGTGGGATTGAACTTTTGCTTCTGTTTACCATGAAGGCTGCCTTCTGGCAAATGCCAACCGATGGCTCCTTATTGCTTCTGCATTCTGCTTCTGCATTTCTTCCTGTGTGCTTTAAAGATTTTTGTGCTTGGACATTAAAGTCGTGTAATGGCAAATGAGATTTACATATGCAGTTCCCATTGCACTGAGCAAATTTTCATAGCAGCAGAATCCGACCTTTAGAGCTGACAGCCCTCTATTTAATGTGCTTGTAATTTTTTTTGAAGGCTTCTCTGATTTTTAGGTTAGCTTTTAAGCTCTGTCACATTCCTGTTGCTCTGGGGCATTTTGCCAAAGGCAACCCAAAACAGGATTGAAAAGGAAAAGGCGCAGCGGGTCAAACACCTCACCCTCCAGGAATTCAGTGTTCATAGAAGGTCGGTATGAGTGGAGATATCAGCAATATCTTTAGACTGAGAGACTTGTGATTCTTATAAATCTTATGAGCCATCTTGCACATGTCAAAGCACTGTTCAGACCCCTCTTTTCTAAAGGTCAAGTAAATAACTAGAAAAGCATCATGAATTTTGCCTTATGAAGTACAGGGAGTGAAGAAACCAACAGGCCATAAAGTCATCCAGCCAAACTAAGTTGGATTTGAGCAATTTATGAAAGTTACAGACAGAATAATGTAGGGAAACATGGGAATGTGGCACTGAGCAAGGAGAGAGTCATTGGTTCCAGGAGACAGCTCTGGGTGTGGAGAGGAGGTGGATGTGGGACCCGGGAGGTGGGAACCAGAGGCTGGAGTGCCTGGGGCAAGGCAAGGCCAGTGTGCCCTGGACAGGAGCATGGTGAGTGTGGCAGGGCTGATGGGCACATGTCATGCAGCTTTGGTGACTGAAATGAAAGCTAGTGCTCCAGCACCAAACACAACAAGGTCTAATGTGGGGTTTTTAAGTAACACCATCAGTGGTGACAACAACAGTGCCCACAGTGTACGATCTGTGTGACATCTGCCCTTCCAGCTTTGTTCTCTCCAGGTATCACAGGATAACAGAATCACAGAATCTTCAAGGTTGGAAGGGACCTGTAGAGATCATCTAGTCCAACCTTCCTGCTCAAGCAGGCACACCTAGAGCATGTGGCACAGGGYGGCATCCAGGCGGGTTTGGAAGACCTCCAGAGAWGGAGACTCCACARCCYCCCTGGGCAGCCTGTTCCACTGCTCTGTCACCCTCACAGGAAAGAAGTTCCTCCTCACCTGGAGATGGAACCTCCTGTGTTTCAGCTTATACCCATTTCCCCTTGTCCTATTGCTGGCCGCCAGTGAAAACAGCCTGTCCCCTTCCTCCCTGCATTCTCCCTTCCTGACAGGTATCATCTGGTCAACAGAGAAGTGAGCTCTAGTGAGCTGGAAAGCTGCACAGCAGTGAACACGTGGGCAAGCATCGTGGATGCCGCGGCCGTGCTGAGCCTCCCCGGGCCAGCGGGCCTGCCACTTGTGTGGAGCCACCCAGGAGGGACCACTCCGGCGTCTTAGTTCTCTTATGGGTGAGTAAAATCAAAAAGTATACAAAAGCATTGCTGAATGTCTGACAAAACAGCCTCTGCATTAGAAGTACTGTTGTGTTTGGCACTGCTGTAGAGTATATGGAGAACAAGTGGTATGGTACGGGATGTGTAATCCTCTTGGAGCCTCTTTATGAAAGAGTAATAAAGCATTTAATGACACTCCCATCTTTTGCTCTGGATTAAGGCAAAATGGTGGAATTAACATTGATTATTTTTTCCATCTTGATGGATAAAATCATGACTCCAAGCAAGACAGCGTAAAATCTGTCATTGACTTCAGAGAGAGCAGAGCTTACAGCTTGATTTAAATCTTGCTGTGAAAAGAAGAGATTTAAATTTGAGGCTGCAAGACGCTGTCTGCAACTATTGCTGATGCTGCTTAGTCACTGCTCTAGGGTCATGCAGAGACTGGAAGTTGCTTATATATTTTTCAATACACGTATACACACATACGTGTACAATACACAGCCACAAGTTTCAGTGCTGAAACACTCCCAGCCATAGGCAAGGGGTAAGTTTAGGAGTGTAGAAGTATGTGTGATAATTCTGGGTGTTTTCCTCAGTCTTATAAACAATCAYGCCCTTTTCTGCCTGTGAAATAATGAGTTATAGTTACAATTGCATAAAGCTATCTACTAATTAACTTTTTTTTTCCAGGGTGACTTTTTTTCCCAAAAGGTTACAGACTCCACTGYTGCTGAGTGTTGATTTAAAGTCACAGAATGTAGTGACATATGCTCACCAATATAAACCCTAATTGATCTGGGATTGTACTGTGTGCAAGACTTTTAAAGTAATTATTAGGTTAGCACAATAGCTTCACAAGTTAAATCTAGAAAGAAAAAGAAGGAAAAAAGCTGATSCAAAAATATATTTTAACAAATATTGTGCACCCTAGAAAGAAAATAGTGGATAACTTGTCTGAGGATTCTGCTCACTCAGAAAATGGGAAATTGAAAAAACTGCAACCAYGTTGTAAACATTTCAGGAGACAAGCATACTGACAAAGGATCCCCTCACCAGTGCGACTGAAAGGTAGCTAGAACTGATGGTTTTGAACCGGACAGGAAGGGCTTTGTTAAAGCCCACTTCATTGGTGATTTTTGAAGAAAATGTGTCCAAAAGTCTTGAGGGTCGTCTTGCTAAGCAGTCATCTTTGCCTTATGGTGCCCCCCATACTGGGCAGTGTGGGTTTGTGTTTCCCTGTGCTGGGGCAGATGCAGCCCTTGTGTTGAGGGGAATGGGAGCAGCCGGGGGGTTCTGTGGTCAGGTCAGGACAGCTCTGTTCCGAAGCCCTAGGAAAAAAGGCCCTAGGCTGGCCTGGCTCCCAGGGTCTTGCAGAAGCTCCTGGTCTGTAAATATTTGCCACTCTGATTGCCACTGCTTTTAGTTGAGATGATAGATGCCCAGAGGAGCTGTGCAGGGAAACACTTAACAGAGAARATGGGAGGGAAAATAAGGCACGACACATTTTCAGCAGTATGAAATATGGGAAGAAAATAGCCCGTAATGATCTCTGCCTAATTCTAAAAAAGAAATTTGCGTTCATTTRTCAGAGCCCAACCAGGAGCCTGACAGTGCTTTTCTGCATGTGTTGCGTAGCACTCTGTGGACATAAACCAGGCAAATGCAGGATCTGTGTGGTTCTTGGGAAAGCTTCTGAAAAGTCTGCTTTCCCTTGGGGTGATGCACAAGTGATCTGTGCGTYCAGAACTTGCTTTACTTCCAAATATTTTTCTGTGAACTCTTCTTGTGTTACTCCTAGGAGTACATGATTTCATCTCTAAGTATAAGAAATGAGGGCTGCAGGAGAAAATAGTACAGGTCAATAATTAATTTTCTATTYCTGGTTTGCCAAGGCTTATAAAAGATATGTGTTGAGATATCTGTGTAAGGACATGAGTGTTGCTAGTATCTATAGAGCATATCAATGAGCTTGGAATTATGCAGGTGATTATCCATGCACAGCTGAGAATGCCTGAGAATGCTGGACCTGTTTCCCCAGCTGTAATTTGGACATATGTTTTCTGCTAAGCATTTATCTTACTTACCAGTRTTATTCATCAGGATGGCTTGGTATGTGCTGTGAAGGTGTGGGGCTGCATTTGCAATTTTTGTCTCTGACTGAAAATTACGTTGATAGACTCATCTGAATGGCAAACTAACTCGTTAATAAAAAACCCACTAAATAGAAGTCAACACGTTTGTGTCATCTGGGTATTTCTCTATTTGAAGGGTTGTGCCG